AAGAAAGAAAGAAAGAAAGAAAGAAAGAAAGAAAGAAAGAAAGAAATAACCACCTCATTGTGTTACTCTAAATAGCTTAATTTTAAGAAAAATAACCAAGCCTGGTAGCTCATGCCTGTAATTCCAGCACTTGGAAGGGTGAAGCAGGAAGACTGCCATGAGTTCAGGCCAGCCTGGGCTATACATCAAGAACCTGTTTTTTTAAAAACAAACAAACAAACAAAAAAACTGCACGTGATGGCTTGTAATCTCAGTTGCTTGGGAGACTGGGGCTGGAGGATTTAAAGTTCAAGCCTACCTGGCCTACAGAGTAGGTTCAAAAGACCCTGTCTCAAACACTTTTTTCAAAAAACCTCAGGCTGGGGATGTAGTAGAGTGGCAGTGCAGTTTTCCAGCATGTGTGAGGCCTCGTATTCAATCCTCAATACTACGAATGAAGCAAAGATCAGGGAGGAGAGGGGAAAACAATCACACTTGAACTCAGCAAGTTCAAAGTGAGCTGTTGTGATGGGTACCATGTAACCCTGTCACATCCCTGCAGCCCTATTTTTTCTTGGCTGAGTTTTCCTTTTCCTCAAGTCCTCAGCCTGGTCCTCTGTTTTATTCAGTCCCACACAGACTCTTACCTAGTTCCAGGTGACCACAGTGACTCTATCTATGATCTCCACATTTGTATTACAGAACTGTTTACCACGTGCTATTGATTAGAACTTCAAATCTTCAATATCAAAAGTAAAACTTTTGGAGGTTGGGGAGATGACTCAGCAAGTCTTAAGGCACCTTTCAACTTGAGTTCAATCCCCAGGACCTACATGGTAGAAAGAAAGAACCAACTCCTACAAGTTGTCCTCTGACCTCCATACAAGCTCTGTAGCTTGCCTGCCCTCACACGTTTGCAAGCACACAAATAAATAAAATGTATTTGTTTTAAACAAATAATACTTTTGTTTTTGCTCCCTACTTTCCCAATGTGCTACTCGACCTCCATTCTGCTATCAACACCTCCACATGCATGTTTAACTCAACACAGAGGAATTTCCGATTACTTCCTTTTCTTCACTTCAACGTCTCTTTAGCAGCAGCTAATTGATCAGCAAGTTCCATCACCTCTATCTCAAAAATACGTTCTGAATCCCCTGCCACTCTCCTGTGTAAGCCACTGTTGAAGTTGAATCACTTCAGTTGTCAACCTGACACACCTCAGTGGAAGGAACCTCAACTGAGGAATTTCCTCCAATGGATTGGTCTGTGGCCATCATCTGTGGGGTATTTTCTTGACTGTTGAGTGATGTGGGAGGGCCTAGCCCACTGTGGGCAGTGCCACTCCTGGGCAAGTGGTCCTGTGTTGTATAAGAAAGCAGGCTGAGCACAGGCCAGAGGAGCAAATCAGTAAACAGCATTCCTTCATGGTGTGTGCTTCAGCTCCTGCCCCGAGTTCCTGCCTTGGCTTTCCTTGATAATGGACTGTGCTATAAGCCAATAAACCCTTTCCTCCCCAAGTTAGTTTGGACAGTGTTTTCATCACAGCAATAGAACTGCTAAGACAGCCACCAAACCCTGTCACCTGGAATACCTAACTCCCCTCTACACTTACCCTCCCCAGAGAGTAACTTGCCATGCATCATCCGAAGTATGACCCCAACAGTAACTCAACTCCCAATAACACTAAAAACAAAACCCCAACTACTCAGCTGCAGCTGCAAGTCTTGCCTCCCCAGCCTCACCCACTAGGCCCATACCCACACTTCTTGCTGTCTGATCCCATTTCAAAGCCATTCCCATTTGGGGATATCGACATTTTATGTCCTATCAACACTTTATGTCCTCTCGCCGCTGAAACCTCTTCCCATGGAGCTGGAGAGATGGTTCAGTAGTTAAGAGCACTGGCTGCTCTTGTAGAGGACCTGGGTTCGATTCCCGGCATCCACATGGCAGCTAACAATGTCCATAACTCCAGTTCCAGTGAATTTGACGCCCTCTTCTGACCTTCAAGATCATTGCACGACACGGGTGTACTTACACACATGCAGGCAATACACTCATACACATAAAATATTAGAAAAAGAAAACTCTTCCTGTATCTTTACCTGACTAGCTCTGTTTCACCAGTAAAGTTTCTGCTCCAATGCTAGCTTGAGTAGGGGGCCTTCCCTGAAGTCAGCTACAACACTCTCTGAACACTTTTATTCATGACAGCTCTTTGCTAGCCACTCATCAAAGCACCATTTCTCATCTGAAACTGTCTTACTTGTTCACTTTCCCCTAACAGGAAGCATAGTTATCTGCTATGTTTACCATGTACCTGAATACTCACAAGAGTTGCCTTAGTTGGAGCTGTAGTAGAGTGCTGGTCTAAGATGCCTAAGGTCTTGGGTTCAATCCCAGGAAAAAGAAAAAACTCAGAGTTGCCTGCACAACTGTAACTGCTACATAAGTGAACAGAATTAAGGAATAAAATGAGAAAAATCATGTTATATGACAAACAATTGGGCTGGGCTGCTGTCATAGTCCTGTAATCCCAGCACTTGGGAGATGAAGGTAGAAAAATCAGGAATTCAAGGTCAGTCTCAGCTACATGCCAAGTTTGAGGAAAGTTGGGCTACAGAAGAGCAACTGGAAAACAAGGGACTGTTTAAACCTGAATTTGGGGAAGAAAGGAAGAATCTACTCACTGGCTTCAAACTTTGTGGGGGAAGGGAGCACATGAGAGAAGCGCTATAGTTACTCTGCTTTCCTAGAACCAGACTCAGCCCAACCACAGCATGCTATCAAGTGGCATGTTTTTAATTACATTTATTATTTTGTATGTGTGTGGATGGATTCATGTAGTCAGGAAGCAACATGCAAAAGTCAGTTCTCTACTTCCACCATGTGGGTCCCAGGAACCAACTCATGTCACCACACTTGGTGGCATGTGACTACCCACTGAGTCATCTCTCAAGCCCTCAAGTGGCATGTTTCAAAACTACTTTCTTTTCTTTATGGAAAAAAGAATCACTGATTTATTTTTATTTTATATGTATGAGCGTTTTGCCTACATGCATGTAAGTGCACCTGTGTTGTGCAATGCCCACAGAGGCCAGAAGTGGGCATCAGATCCTCTGTAACTGAAATTATGGCAAGTTAGCCATCTTGTGGGTGATGGGAACCAAAACTGGGTCCTGCAAGAGCAGCCAGTGCTCTTAACCACAGTCGTCTCTCCAGTTCCACTTTAAAATATATATTTTTTATTTACTTGTATTTTGGGAGTGTTTTGCCTGCATGTATGTGCATCACACGGGTGCAGTGCCTCTGGAGGCCATAAGAGATCAGATCCGTTGGAACTGGAGTTATGGACAGTTAGCTGCCATGTGGGTGCAGGGAACTGAACCTAGGTCCTCTGCAAGAGCAGCAAACCCTCCTACCTGCTGAGCCATCTCTCTAGCCCATCCAAACCACTTTCTAAGAAGAGCAGAGTCTTAAGAAATGAGCTTCTACAAAGTTGTCTTTCCCCAGAAATGCTTGGACTGAGGCTGGCTTATCACAGGAAACAAAACGTGGCTTCAGAAAGGTGATCCGAAGTCATCTTTGAGATTTCCCACCTATTGGTTCAAGCTCCATCCAACTGCGGTGTGCTAAAGCCACGGGATCAAGTTCAGCAAGGTTGGAAAGTACTGTCCTCTACCCCATAAAATCTGCACGCACAGTCTGCACGTCTCTTGTCCACTGCAGTATCCCTACAAGCTGTCATAAGGAATTCCGCAAGGAGTTGAATAAGCAGTATTAAGATGCAGGGGGCATTAAAATGGAGAAGCGGTATCTGCCAACCAATCTGCCCACGTTTTCCACAGCGTGGCGGCGACTGTGAACATTCACACAAGCCCAAAGAGGCGTGTCCTCAATATTAGAGAACGTCACATAAGTTCCTGCAAGGTTCAGGGTCCCGACGGTCTCTCGGTCCAGCCTGGGGACAGTGACGGCGGTGTCCCCCTCGGCCCGGGGCCTCGTCAGTCCGGGTCGGGTCCAGGGCTGGTCCGAGGCCAGGGCACACAGGGGCGGCTGCCCGGAGCTGGGGGCCTGCGGACTCACCTCGGGGAGCGACTTGCCGCAGCTCAGGCTGTAGATCTTCACCTCGTTAAGGCTGGAGACCTGCATGGCGGCTCCGCACAGACCTGGCTCACAGTCCCGACTGGCCCTGTAGATCTTCACCTCGTTAAGGCTGGAGACCTGCATGGCGGCTCCGCACAGGCCCGGGGAATTCCCACATCCGAGTCCTGAGCGCTGCCCGACACGCTTCCAGGGCCCGCTGTTGATGGCGAGGGATGATGACGCACTTCCGGGCGCCGGAATGCGCAGTCGCGGGGAATCCAGAAGCGACTGGATGGAAAAAGGTGAAATCACAGGTCGGGATTATCTCTCAGGTTCTGAACCGGTTCTGGACCTGCTGAGCTATCCCGGTCCTGGTTGGGAGCGGGGCTGGGTCAGCGAAAAGATGCCTCAGCTAAGATAGATTCGGAGGAAAAGTATTTTTAAATTACATTTTATTTATTTACCTAGTGTGTGTGTGTGTGCTTGTGGCAGTCAGAGGACGACAGTTTGTGGAAGTTCTCTCCAGGAGATAGAACTCTGGTACAGAGGCTTGTCGGAAAGCGCCTTTGCCCACTGAACCATTTTGCTGACCCAAAAGTGTACTTTTGTCCAAGTCTTTAGATCTCTTTATGCCCTTGGGGCTAGAAATGGAGCTCAGGTGGTGGAGCACCTTAGCGTGCCAGAAGCACTGAATTCAACCGAATCCCAGTGCCCCAAAAACCCGGTGCACACCTCTAATCCGGTAACTGGATAGGAGGAATCAGGAAGATCAGAAGTTCAAGATCATACTCTCATTACATAGCAAGTTTTAGGCCAGCCTTGGCTATATGAGACCTTGTCTCAAAAGACAGAAAAAAAGAAGAGAAGAAACATCCTCTTAGAAACTAGCATGTTGGGAGCTGAGGGATGGCTCAGGAGTTAAGAGCAGTCTGCTCTTGCGGAGGACCCGTTCCCAGCACCTACATAGTGGCTACGTTCCAAAACTCCAGTTCCAGAAGATTCAGCGCCCTCTTCAGGTCTCCGTAGGCATTTCGCGCATGGGTGCCCTTACATACATACGGCAAAACATTCATACACATAATTTTTCTTTTTAATTAACACAGTAGACATGGCAGGACATGCCTGCTGTCCTAACACTTGAGACTGAAGAAGCTGGAGATCACCCATAGCAAGATTCTGTCTCAAACCCACAAAAGTGGTATGTTAATAATGCTATTTTTCTCCCACACTTGACATTTACAAATGAAGGAAATAGGAGAGGGGGAAACTTAAAAAAAAAAAAATAGGCGCATGAAATGGGGAAGCGGGTTTGAACCTGGAATTGAGACAAGTGCCCTATAGTAATAAGAGATCTTCATGTATCATTTTCAGAAAGTTTTCACAACTGCTTCTGTTGTCTAGATCTGAGGACGTGTGAATTCTGTTGCTTTTTTTAGTAATGAACTCTAGGGCTTTTTCCAAAAGGCGTTGACTGCTACAGAAGACCCTCTCCAGTGTTTTCTCTGCGTCTTCTTTCCTTGAAACACATCCTTCCAGGGAAAGAGAATCCTGGAGAGAGAAAGAGATCGATTAATGTTTTCTTTAAAGACCCCTGAAAACACCAATCCCTCTGGCTCCTGCTGAGAATTTTCTGGTAGAAGAGGTGGGAACTCTAGGCCCCCATCTTCTTCTGTATATATCTCAGGCAGGGGTGTGGGGTGTAGGACTGGGGCTCACTAGTCCTGGTTGACTCTGAGAGGGCTCACACTTTCATAGCTGCTTTTTCTTTCAGGGCAAGGCAGACCTGCAATTTTCTGTGCTTCTTCCCCAACAGAGTAATGTTGGAATGTGCACTGGACTCCCTGCTTCTTAACATGGTGCTGCATAGTCAGTCCTTTGTCTCCCCCCGCCCCCCCCGCCCCGGACCACCTCTTGCTTCAGTTGAAGAGCCCAGTTGAACACCTTTGAACTGCTTGAAGCTTAACTTCTTCAGTTCTATTTGGAGACAGTTGATCCTTATGGGAGCACCAAAGAATTCTTGATGTAGCTAGATGAAATCAAGGCACAGTGTAGGCTAATGGTATAGTCAACTGAAGGTCCTTTTGAAATTGGAACACAGTACCCCTTAGCCTGGGTGGATTGTTGAAGCTGAGTGACACATCAACTCTAATACATCATTTAATTTATACATTACAGTTACAATGACCTAAAGTAATAAACAGGTAGGAGAAGGGACCACTCCCTCATCCTTGGATTATTTTGGATATTTTAAGGCAAAGCTATGGTATTTAGCTTCACCAATTATAGTGTACTTGTCTGCTCCCCCCCATCTACAATCAGTGACAGGATTGGCCTTGTGCATTTGTATGTCCCTTACCTTACCCAGCACTGATAAACAGGACACTTCCAGTAAATATTTGTTGATAAAATGAACCAATTGATCACTCTGGCTGCTGTAACAAAATACCCTAGATTGGGTGGCTTATAAAGAACAGAAATTTCTCACACTTCTGAAAGCAAGTAAGTCCAAGATCAAGGCACCCTCAGACTCTGGTAAGATTGGGAACCAAATGATGTTAGGAATAACTGCCTGGTTTGGGCTTCAGAAACAGCCCATTCAGCATTGCCAAAGGTTAGCACCAGACAGCAAGGCTGTTCTCATGGAGGCCAAGGCAGGTTTTCTATGCTGTCATTGTGAAGCCCACAGGGTACAGTTGTTGACTTCTCTTCATGAAGAACTACAAGAGGACTGTAGGAGAGTCTCCAACTTAGCCCTTGATCGCTCCTCATCCCTGGCCATCAGTTCATTAAATGGGTTCACCAAAGCAGATCTAGGTTCCTGCCTCACCACTGTCACCTTCTGGTCCAAGCCATAATCCCGTGCTGCCTGGCTCCACTACAGCCTGCTGGCCAGGCTGTAGGTATTTACTTCTTCACAGCAATCTTGAAAAACATCACATTAGAGCTGGATGTGGTGGCACATGCTTTTGATCCTGGCACTCAGGAGGCTGGGGCAGGCTGATCTCTGTGAGTTCAAAGTCAGAATAGGGTCTACATACAGAATTCCAGGGAAGCTAGTACTACTTAGTGAGACCCTGTCTCAAAAAAAAAAAAAAAAAAAAAAAAAAGTGCATGCTAGGGTTGAAAAGATGACTCAGAGGTTAAGAGCACTGACTGCTCTTGCGGAGGACCGGGTTCAATCAGCACCCACATGGTGGCTAACAACCACCAAAATTCCAGTTCCAGAGGATCCAATGCCACCTTCTGACCGCTGGCATTGCAGGACAGGAGTGCAGTTACACGCACACAGGCAATACACTCATACACATAAAATAAAAACAAAATGTTTTAGAAAAGTACATGCCAAGGCCCTGGGTTCAATCCCCAGTACCATTAATAGTAATAGCAATACATAGTGGATCAGGTGGTGTCACTGCACAAAACTCAGGGCACTGACGTTCTGATTGCTGGGAGTCCTGTGCAGACGCTTCAGCCTATCTCACTGACCTCGTCTTAGGGCATTCTCTTTGGTTTGCCTGTTATTCTTGCCTCAGGGGTGTTGTACTCACTGTTCTCTCTGTTGAGAATTCTCCAACCCCAGTCTTTCCATGACTACTTGGTACCATTCAGATCCCAGCTGTAACAGCACTCCCTTGAGATGCCTTCTGGGACCCAAAGTAGCGCCCTCACCCCAGTAGCCTCTGTAATGTCTGTGTGCTCTGCCGTGTTCCTTGAACATGTTATTTGAAATGACCTTGCTCTTTGACACTTCTGCGTTTTTATCTGTAGATTCCTCTGTAAAGTTAGCCCTTGAGAATCCATACCTTACCCATCTTGCTGTGTATGCTGCACTAAGAGCAGAGAAAATTCAACTATTCATTGAATAAATAACAGAGAGGGTACTCAATTAAGTGTTCACCAAAGACTATGACCAGATGTCACAAACTTGTTCTTGTCCCACAGACTCCTCTGATACCTTTTTCTTTTTACCTTTCAGATCCCTGTCTATCTTCTGTATTTGCCTCTGCCTGGCATACTGAGATGCCTGTGAACTAGCCAGGGCCTTCCTCACCAAGACACCAATCCTGCCCATCATCTCCTTCTCCCTGGATTGTTACTTAGGTTGTTGAACTTACACAGAAGTTTTCTGTACCTTAAAAAATATAAAAAATGGGACTGGAGAGATGGTTCAGTGGTTAAGAGCACTGGCTTCTTTTGCAGAGGACCTGGGTTCAGTTCCCAGCACCTACATGGCAGCTAGCAACTGTCCTTAATTCCAGTTCAAGAACCGATGGTCTCTTCTGACCTCCATGGGCTTCGCACACACGTCATGTACTTAGATGCACATAGGCAAAACACTCGTACAAATAAAATTTATTTTTATTTTTATTTTTTGGTCTTTTTGAGACAGGGTCTCCCTGTAGTCCCAGATGTCCTGGAACTCACTATGTAGATCAGGCTGGCCTTGAACTCACAGAGTTCCTCCTGCTTCTGCCTCCTGAGTGCTGACATTAAAGGTATGTTGCCAGCCTTCAATATCACTATTAAAACCAACAAACGAAAAAACAGTGGCATCGGGCATGATGGCACACACCTGTAATCCCACACTGTAGAGGCAGAAGTAAGAGGATGATAAGTTTGAGACTAGCCTCAAAAAATAAAGACATATGCTCTCATGCACACACCCACACACAGACTCACGTATGCACATAAATTAAAAATGAAAATAAGTAAAACTAAAGGCTCATGTGGGTAGGTTAAGTCTATCTTAGGTCAACTGATTAGTAACTTCAATTATACTTGCAAAACCTCTTCTGCAGTTTAACTTATCTTAGTGTCCTATTGTCCTCACAGAAGGAACTATCCAAGGGCAAAGTTCATTGGGTCGTCTTAGAATTCTGTCTATCACAGTTGTCCTTTTCTTCCTCAGCATCATCATCACCATCCATCCATTTATCTTCCTCATCACAAGAAAAAAAATAATCACTCATCCCTTTATGCAACAGATTTCCGTTAAGTCCCAGGGGTTTGAGGAATTGAATCCTGTTAGATACATGTTTTAGCTCTATTTTTATTTTATATGTATGTTTTGCCTGCATGTATGTAAGTGCACCCGTGTGTGCAGTGCCAACAGAGGCCAGAAGTAGGCGTCCAATCCCCTGGACCTGGTGTTAGGGATCATGGTTAGCAGCCATGTGGGTCCTAGGAACCCAGGTCCTATGCAGGAACAGCCAGTGCTCTCAACTG